CGCTTCATAGACGCTTCGCAGACGGCTGGAGGCGGGCGCACGAGCTCTCTGCTCCCGGGTCTGAGAAAGAGTCGGTGGGCATGATTTGTTTCTCTGTGCGTCACTGTCTGCAGCCTTCTGTCTGACAGGGTCGCGTCTGGAGGCGAGGCCCAGAGCAGGGAAGGGCTGGGGCGCTTCAGTATTTTGTGCAGTCGTAGGAATAGGGGGTGGCGTGGCGGTAGAGGGACGGCGCGGCTCTGTAGGGCAGCTGACAGCTCGCGTTGCTCACCTGGGACTCCGCCAGGGTCGAGTTTTCAATTCCCAGCCGGTGGGAGTTGAACATCTCCCGGACGTTGGGGAAAGTCTGCTGCTGGGCCGCGAATGTGTGGCCGGAGAGGTGGTTTAGGTCCCCGCTGTGGTTGAGGTACCAGGAAGCCGCCGGGGCCGCGGCCGACCCGGGCTGCGGCGCGGGCTGGGGCTGAGGAACGGGCGGGGGCTGCGGCGCCTGTGGGTGGTGGTGGCCGTGATGCTGGTGGTGGTGGCCCGCGGCAGCGAGCGCGCCCTCCTGGCCGGCAGCGAGGTTGAGGGCGCTCAGCGGTGATGCGGGGCCACTCGGGTGGTCCGAGAGGGTCTCGTCCAGGGCGGGCGGGACGCACATGTGCGCCGGCCGCTCGGCCCCGGTGTACAGGCTCATGGCGCGCATGCTGCACTGGTAGCCCCCCGCGCCCCCCGCCTCCAGACCCTGAGCACACGGCTGACCGTAGGCTGCAGGCGGCGCGGCAGCGTAGGGCAGCGCCAGCGGGGGCACCACCAGGCCAGCGCGCCCGGCCGCGGGACTCAGTTCGCCGCCCGGCGGCGACGTTCGCAGCGTCATGATGTTCTCCACGCTAAAGCCGGGCAGCCCGTTGGGCGCCGATGCGTGATGCTCTGGCAGCGAGCCGTCCGGAGAGCCCACTGGGGTGGAGGCCGCGCTGCGCGGGCTGCCCTGCAGCGCGCTCTCGGGACTCAGCGTCTCCACCTTGGTGATGACCGGCAGCGCAGGCGATGCAGCCTCGCTCTTGATCACCACTTTCTTCTCGGCCTCCTTGGGGGCGTCCGCTAGGGGGGGCCCAGCCGGGGCGCCCTTGGACGATGCCGGGGGCGGCTCCTTGAGGTGGGCCCGCTCCTCCTTCTCCTTGGGCACGTCCTTCTTTTTGAAGCGCCGCCGGCGCCTCAGGAAACTGCCGTTCTCGAACATATTGTAGGAGTCAGGGTCCAGCGTCCAGTAGCTGCCCTTGCCAGGTTTCTTGTCGTCGCGAGGCACCTTGACGAAGCACTCATTGAGCGAAAGGTTGTGGCGGATACTGTTCTGCCAGCCCTGCTTATTCTCTCGGTAGAAGGGGAAACGGTCCATGATGAACTGGTAGATGCCGTTCAGGGTGATCTTCTTCTCTGGCGCATTCTGGATCGCCATGGTTATGAGAGCTATGTAGCTGTAGGGCGGCTTTACCAGGTCCTTGGGCGCCGCGGGCTGGTGGTGGTGGTAGGGCGCGTACGAGCGGCCCATGCCCGCGCCGTATTGCTCCGGGTGGCCTGAGTAGACGCCCATGGGGCTGGCCATGCCGCCGTAGCTGCCCGCTGCCCGGTAGTAATTCTGCTCGCTCAAGTAGGGCACCACTCCCAGGGAGTTGGGGTCGGACACCGAGTAGCGCGCCTGCATGCTGCGTCCAAGACCGCTCGCCACCGCCTGCGCGCACGGGCTGCGGCCAGGGGAGCGAGGAAGGCCTGGAGAGTGAGAGCGAGGCGCGAGAAGGGAAAGAATCGGTGGGGACTGCCCCGGCTGAGCGAAGCCTCAGCGGCGAGGTGGAGGAGGCGCCGGCGCTCGAGCCGAAGAGGAGCGCTCGATTTCAGCGGACTGGGCGGGTCAGCATCCTGGAGGGCGCGCCCTGGGCGACCACAGCTCCGGCCCTGCTCGCCCGCGCGCTTTCGGGGTCCGGCGGGTGGCAGCCGGGCAGACTGCTGGTCGCAGCAGAGACGCCTCGCGTGCACTGGAATGTTCCCCCCGTCCGCGCAAGGAGGGAGAAAGCAGGTCTCCAAGTCCCGCTGCAGATCGGCAGCCTTGAGGGTCAGCGAGCCGGGGTCCAGAGTGGCTGCCCTGCGGAGCCCGGAAAACGAGGCAAAGTCCCTTTTAGGGATTGGGAAAAGTTTCAAAAGTCTTCTTGCCGTAAGCGAGTTTTTACTTTCCTCAGGCCGCGCCCCCTCCTGCAACTTTGGACCAATCATCCGACAGCTATGGGGAGAGGGCACCAATCAGGGAGAGGAGCGAAGGAATCCGGCGGCTCTAAGACCCAGCCGCGCAGCACTCGCCTTTTTTGTAGCTCAGCCCTAACTTGAAAAGTCTTTTTAAAAATGAGTTATCTTAATAAAATTTATTTTATTATGGTATTTTGGTTAATGAGACCACGTGTCCAGGGAAAAAAATAGAAGTTTCTTAGCGAAAAATAAGTTTGAAATATGAAATCGAATTGGCGAGTGCAGCCGAGTAGCTCCCACCACACCTGGGGGACGGCAGAGATGCTGGGGGGACTTTCTTATTAATGAGTGATGAGGCGAGTGGGTAGATTCCTAGTTATCGGGGCCTAGATTATGGATTCAAAGCGGACGTGCCAGATCCGAGTGGAGGGGACCTGCCCTGGGTGCCGTCCCCGGTTAATGCGATGATTAATCGTCTCCGGCGGGTCGCCAGCTCCGGGCGTCAGGAACGACCTGTTCAGGTTTTGGAGGCGCCGCATAGAAACCGAATCCCCTCGCTCCTGCCCCGGGTCAGGCTGCGGGGGGGCCCTGGGAAGGCGCGTGGGGAGGCACTGCCAACCTGGGAAAGCCACCTTTCGACTCCGCCGGGGTCCCGCACGTCGTCCGTCTCGGTGAGCGCGTGTGGGCTCGGCCCGAGTGCCGCCGCCGCTCCCTCTCCCCCTCCTCTCCCCCGCAGACCCCGGCGGCCCACGCGTCCCGCTCCGCGCGCCTCTCCCTTCCCCAGAAATAAATTCCCTCTGACAAGCTCACTCCCGCGCTCCCCGAAGACCAGAACAATGCGGCAGCCCCCCGCGCCCAGTCGGAGCCCGGGCTGCTCCGCGGGGCCAGAGGAAACCCGAGCCTGCTTTCCGCGGGGCCTCGCCTGAAGAAGCGCAAAATTCGCGCGGAGCGCCGGGGTTCGCCGCGTGGACGCTTCCCCGCCGCGCGAGCTGCCAAACGCCGACCCCAGGGCGCAATCCCTACCTCCGCTGCTGGCAGAGCCCCCTTGGGATTCTTCAAGTTGACTTTTTATATTTTAGTTTCTTTTGTTTTGTTGAGTTTTGATAAGACGAATTGAGGCCCAGCAGGGCTTTTCGGGGGGCTGGGTAAGAGGGTGCAGACGGTGGGAGACGCCCCCAGGATTCTAATTACTCCCGATACTGACCTGAAGCGGACTTCTAGGACCTCGACCATCATAGTTTCCTCCTCGCCTCTGGGAGCCCGCGGACGATTTGTTTACTTAGGGAGCGATTATTTATTCCTTCCACACCTCGAATAATCCGAGCCCCCTTTGTCCACCCCCTTGAAGGGCTGGGACTGGCCTTAGCAAAGCCTCAATGCCCAGGCTTGTTGGTCCGGTTGGGTAGGGAAGAGGGTTGCAGATAAAACATTTGTGTTTCTTTTCCTAACTCTCATTAAATTCTCAGCAAGAGTGTGAATCCACCCCTTAAGTCTTGTCTAGAAGAAATCAGGGACCTCTCGTTCATTTTCAATGAAAGAACACAAAAATATTTGTGTGCATTATCTTTGTCTCCTAATAAATTCAAAACCAAAAGGAAAGCACAGAGCAGGCTCCTATTGTCTTGAATATTCTACTTTTGAGACACAATTTTTATGGGTGTTCTGGTTCTTTCTCTAACTTGACCCCCCTCCCAACTTTTCCAACAATGTAAAATAAAGCTGCCCAGTTAGTTCTTAGCTCAGGGGCGGATGGCTTGCCTTCTCTCCCGACTCCAAACTCCCACTACAACTTTATTTTTTTTTACCTCTAATACTTCTGCATTCATCTTTAAAAAAAATAAGGATGTGACAGAAAGTACGTTTCTCCTGAAATGCACCACAGGCATGCTGAGCCTCACAGTTTTACTGGAAATGCAAAACTATTGATCAAGAAACACCCTCAGTCTGTAGGCTTCTTGGAGGAATATTATTTACTCTGCTTTTACGAGGTGTGTGTATGTGCCGGAGTGTGTGTGTGTGTGTGTGCCGGAGTGTGTGTGTGTGTGTGTGTGTGTTAAATGCTTTATCACAGTATAGGGCAAAACTCAAACTATCTAAAGACTGAAAAACAAATTCTAAAATGTCAGTTTCTGCCTGCCTTTGTACCTCTGAGAGCCCAGGTTAAAACCGAAGCCATCTGAGAACTTTGGTTGAGTTGCCAAATTTGTTAGCCAGGAGAAGTGAAGGCCAGGGAGACCTCCTTAAGACAGAAGAGGTGAGAGAGACATTTCCCTTTCCCCTGGGATTGGGTTTCTTCTCGGTGCAGTGGGACCTGGGAGAGATGTCTGTTCAGGTTATTAAAACACACCTGGACCTTGCCATCTTTACCATCCTGGCTTTAACCTACCAGCGTATTTGGGATTGCGGGCTGCTATTTCCTTGCTGATTTCCCCCTTCCTCATTGTCAGACCCTGTGTCTTACTAAAGTGATAAGCGGTGAAAAAGGCGAAAGTTGCTGTTTCTTCCTCACAGCGTGTCACTTCCCGTCCGGGCGCGGCTGGGCTCGGTCACCTGGCTCCGACAGACTCTGTGGGTGTTGGCGCCATCCTGCGTCCAACACGGGAACTACTCTGCAAAAAGAGAGAAGGGAAAGCCGGTGGCTTCGGCGCTAATGACGGTGCTGACACCTTACGGATGCACCTTGGCATTGCACCGCAGGAAGAGGCCTTCGGAAACCTGCCGGAGGGAGGGAAGGTCAATAAACGGGCAGTGTTTCGAGAGCTTGATCTGCGGGGAAACAGAAGTGTCTGTGAAACTTCTTGGGAGCAAGAGGTCTTCTCCAGGGAAACGCTCCCACGTTTTTTTGCTTGTTTTTAATTTTTTTTTTTTAGTTGCAGTTGAACACAATTCCTTGATTTTATTTATTTTTGTGTGATGCTGAGGATGAACCCAGCGCCTCACACGTGCTAGGCCCCAGCGCCAGCCCAGGGTCGCTAAAGGAATGCCTCCCCCCCCCCCTGCCAGTTTGGGGGAACTGATCAGAAAGCTTCTCGGAGGAAGGCCTGTGAGCCAGTGCAGCCTCCTCGGATTCGGAGGCTCAGGAGAACCCCGTGGCCAGGTGGGGGAAGGCTGCCTCTCCTCTGCCCTCCTTGGTTGAGCCAGAGTCCTCCCCACCTTTCTCCTGGGGCCCAGAAGATGCCTTGGGATTCCGGAAAACAGGACCAGAGAGCAGAGCTGTCCCGAGCTTCCAGATGCTACATGGGAAGTGACCCTTGGTCAACTGGAGTGCATGCCGCCTTGTAAAAACCCACTGTCTTTTGACTTACAGAAATTACCTTTTATGGGAGACTTCAGAGGACTGAATGAAGGGGAAGCACAGAGCAGCCCCCCACCCCGACCCACCGAAATCAGGCCACCCGGGCACCATGATCCTCTTCCCCCTTAGGAGTCAGTGAGAGGTGAGGACGCCCCTGCCCCTGCCCCAGCCTCAGCCTCTGCTTGCAAGCGCCCCACGGGGGCTTCCACGCCAGCCCAGCCTGGGCCCCACAGGGCCTTTGCACTCCTCAAGACCTTTGCCTGACCCCCACTCTCAGTCTGGCTCCCAGCCACTTCCTCCCCTGGCTTCCTTCCTTCGGCTCACCGCATCCTGTTTCATCTCCCAGCTGCACTGACCACCCGGTGCCTGCCGCCTGCCCGGCCTCCATACCAGAATGGAGGCACCAGGAAGGCAGTCAGGGTCCAGGGTCTCCCTGTGCTGGGTTGAATCCTCTGGGGGGGGGGCAGACTCCATGCTCCAAGTGAGAAATTGAATAAATGGATGTCGCTTCAGAGACACCTCCCATTTCCCCTGCCATAACCACAGGACGTTTCGCCCATGCGGGGTTCAAGCCCAGAATTCAGTGCCAACAGGTGCTGGTGTAGTCTAGGCGGTGCTGCGTAGGGGATGGAGGAGATCGCCACAGCACCAGCTCCCGGGCTGTGGCAGGTATGCGGCCACCAGGGGATGGGGCTTCATCTTAGCCACTGGAGCCCTCCACAGTTTCCCAGGGCCAGGCTAGAATTTCAACAGGTGCCTCCAATGTGCCTCACAGGGCTGCCTCCCTTCTGTCCCAGGCGGGCACAGGGATGCTTCGCTGCTACCTACTCCCAGGGCTGCCGTGGGAGAAAGCGAGGTAGGACAGAAGGGAGGGAGAAGGCGGTGTGCGTCCCTGGGGAAGCTGGCAAGCCAGCCGGGCCTGGAAACGAGAGAAAGAAAAACTCTAAACTGGAACGCTGTTTGCTTTGGGTTGCCAGATTGAGCACATAAAGATGTTCAAAGATTACCTGGGACACATTTACATACACACACAGATACAGAATAAGCATACGTGGTATTCAGCATATCTGCATCTATGTTCATTGTTTATTTGAAATTTGAATTTAACTGAGAAACCTGTATTGACCTGGCAATTGGGAGACAATGTCCCTCAAACACCTCTTCCTGACTCTTCGACAGTGTTGTATCTGCTAAGCATTTTCTGCAGCTTCAAAGCCCTCCCCAGCATGACAGTCCCCATGGGGAGCCCGACAGGAGAAGGCCTCGCTTCCCAGCGCTACCACTGTCAGCACAGGAGACCAGCAGTGGATGGGTGAGAAGATGCCAGCCCTGGGCCTGGCTGAAAGCCCAGAAGCACCTTCGTCAGAAGGACACCTTGCTGCTGGCTGGACTCCACCGTAACTGCTCTTTCTAGCAGTTACAATGCATCTCAAAAATAGGCTCCAACCTCTGTTCTGTTCTGGCCCTCAGAGTTGCAATCCACTGGCTTCCTGCTGTGTATTTAAAGATGGTCATGAGTTTCCTTTGACTAAATTGACTGGTTCCCACATGCAAAGGGGATGTTTTAAAACTCAGCCACAGTGTTCCCGGGGTCCACGTGGGATGGCTGGGAAGGCCGTCACACACGCCAGGCGTTCTAAGTCACGTTTGGTTCCCTGAGAAAGTCAGAGCAGCCACCTAACCCTCTCTCCACCCCTCAGCGGAGGGTTTTTACTTTGCTGGCTTTCTGCAGGGGCACAAAGCCCCTGCAGAGCGCCTCTTGCCTTCCTAGTGGAAGGTGACCGCACAGGGGCAGCACTGGAAGATTCCCCACCTGGGCAGAGGTGTTTCCCCATGCCCTGCCCTCCCCTTTGGCTAGTCACCAGGACATCTGGGGGGAGGAATTTTTTATAGACTTCTTGTTTGTTTCTTCCAGCAGTTTTAGGTCCACAGCAAAATCAAGCAGAAGGTGGAGATTCCCCCCGCGTCCCTGGCCACCCCGCCTTCCCTGCTATGGATAGCATATCTGTGGATGCTTTTGTTACAACCAATGAACTCACAGTGGCCCATCGTCACTTTGGTCCTCAGTTTAAGAAAGTTCATTCTTGGTGTAGTGGGATTTTTCCACCTGCAAAAAATGAGGGTGGTGTGGGAAACAGCATTTCTGAGATGGAAAGCACACGAGCAAAGCCAGAAAGGGAGGCAGGCAGAGCAGGACTGGAGCCACGGGAGGCAGGTGCTGGGATGAGGTGAGCAGGGCCACCTCCGCCCGGTGACGAAGCTCACGCTGAGCCCGTGCAGGGAGCGGAAGCCAGACTCACACCCAGAAAACAGGCAGGTGGGGTCCAGGTAGGCAGAGGGCAGGAAAGAAAAGCAGGAGACTGGGAGGCAGGAGTGCTACCGTGGTGAGGTGACCGTCATTGGCTGGGTGGTGAAGTGCCAGGTTGCTGGCTGCTCACTGGGGTCCTGGACAGGAGAATCCTCACAAAGAGCAGCCAGTGGAAGGGAGAGCTGGGGGGGTCTCAGAAAGCCACAAGCTCTGGAATCAGAGTGCCTGAGGGGAGGGGCTTGGCTGTCACGGGGCCTTTTGTCACCCACCAGCTAGCTGTGGAGCTCCATGAGGACGCTGCTGGCCGTGCTCCCCCAGGACCAAGCAGCCACCCTTCCTCTTGCCCACTAAAGTGAAGGAACCAGTTCCACAAAAGAGGGGGCTGAAGCTCAAAGGGTGGCCTGGACACTCACGGTCACCCAGCTCAGGGCCGATGGCCAGGCTCCTCACAGCTGGCCACTGTGGCTACTCATTACCTTCTGGCCGGCTTCTAAAGGCTCAAGACTATCAGGAAGGGCCTGTGACAGCTAAGGTCTAAGTGAGCCTCCACGTGGCCATTGACAGCAGCTTCATCCGCAACCGCCCAGGGGGGGGGGGCAACAGGGCTCCTCCCAGGGGAGGGGTCACTGTGGCCACGCGGCGGTGGAACTGCTACCCGAGGGCCACGAAAGCCCGCGCAGCTCCAGCGCACGACGCTAAGTGCGAGC